GCAGGCAAACACTCATATATATAAAATAAATCAATCCTTTAAAAATAATTTATATTTAAAATATCAATGAGACTTTTAAAAATTAAATTTATACGGCAAAGTCCACTTTTCTTTTTTTTTAAGAAACATTATCTCACTTTGTCCCCTTAGCTGGTCTGGAGTTTACTATGTAGACTAAGCTAGCCTAGAACTTGCTATGTAGACCAGGCTGACCTCAAATTTACAATGGTCTAGCTGCCAGGATTAATGGGGTGTACCACCATGCTTGACTAAAGCCCGCTTTCTATTGATTATATTTTCTTTTTCCGTTTCTCTTTCTAAGACAAGGTCCTGCTATGTAGCTCAGGCTGGCTCCTGTGTTCCTCCTGTGTCAGCCTCCCAAATGCTGGGACTATATGATTAGCTTTTATTACTTTTCAATCCCTGAAACAAGCTTATTTGCTCCATCTCTCTTGTGTCTAATTCAGTTACCCCTGGTGAGCCCAGCTAATAGTAGCTTCCACTTGAGAACTTCTGGGATAGTTTTCTCTGTAGCTTCGACTTCTCCCCATAGTTTCCTATTGCATGAGTTGTTGGTTTTGTTCTGTTTTTTTTCTTCTTTAGTATATCCTAAGCTCCTTGCAAGCAGAAGCAAAGTGTTTCATTTCCCCATAGGCCCTTGTGCTTTGGGTGGAATCCTGTTCTCTCCAGAATGCTAACCTGGGTGGGCACTGCTACTATAGTCAGTAGAAATGACCTTGCTCGGGATATCTATAAACCTTCCACAATTAGACAGGAAGTACCTACAATAGTTGCTTTTCTATGGCAATGGCAGGTTACCTGACAGAACCAACATAAAGAGGGAGGTTTATTTTAGCTTAGGCCTTAAGGGGCCCCAATGCACCACAGAGCTGAACTGTGTCAATGGGCTCATGAGGCAGCTGGGTACTTGGTCTTGGCACACAGCAAGCAGACAGTGCACCACCTGGCATAGGGTAGGTTATAACTCATGAGGCTACTGCTTTGTGACTTGTTTTCTCCCAGTTAGACCCTACTACCCTAAGCTTCCAGAATCCCCCAGACAGAACCACCATCTGGGGACCAACTGTTCAAACACAGGCATCTGTGAGGGACATTCCATGCCAAAGCAGTCAACAGTGGTATAGACAGAAGGGTGTGTGTGTGTGTGTGTGTGTGTGTGTGTGTGTGTGTGTTATTATATTAATCTGTTTTATGTAACTATAATGAAATACCTTGGTTGGGGAAACTTTAAGGGAAGTTGTTTATTTCGGCTGAGGGTTCTAAAGTTCCCAAATTTAAGGCTCATCTGATGGGCTTGTTGGTGATAGAATCTAAAGAAAGTGAAGGGAGTAGCACACATCAAGAGACAGAAAATGCCTGTGTTCAGATTCTGACTCCTCTCCCTTTTCTAAGAAAGCCTCTAGTATTAATCACAAAACTCCATCATGGTGATGAGCTTGTCTAAACCTAATCACTTCCCAAAGTCCCACTTCTTCACACCAGAGTTGAATTGATATCTTAATATATCAAATGGAAATGACATTTCAACAGTTGAACCCTGGGAGATACACTCCAACCATAGCAAATGTTTATCAAATTCTTGAAAACATTGGCGATCCATCACTCTATGATCCTCACCCACAATCCTAACAACCCCCAAATGAGTACTAGGGTTATGTTTTTTATATTATTATAATTAGGATTATAACTCAGAAAGAAAGATGTACAACTGTTATTGCATTGACAAAGATTTCTTGGTAGTTTCTTTATTTGAGATACATTACATACCATAGATCAGCTCCCTCAAAATGTATAATTTATCAGATTTTAATGCAGATTTTAAGTTGTGTGAACATCACCATTTGGCAATAAGCATTAGTTGGGAGTCCTAGTGCCAAACACAGAAGTAAGCAAGAGAGAGAAAGCTTTGCCCTTCAGAAACTTATGGGGTGTTGTCTCTCACAGAGACACTGTCTGTCTGTCTCTCTCTCTCTCTCTCTCTCTCTCTCTCTCTCTCTCTCTCTCTCTCCCGCCCCCCTTGGTCTCATGTAATGCAGGTTGGCCTTAAACAGACTATATAGTCAGGAATGATCATAAAATTCTGATCCTCTTGCCTCCACCTCCTAAGTGGCTGGTACATTAGTTACCATGATAAAATACCACAACCAAGGCAACTAATTCATAGAAGAAAAGGAAAGGGGTATTTGGATTTATGGCTCCAGAAAGGTTAGATAGAGTCCATCGTTGGAGGGAAGCATGGCAGCAGGGATGGCAGCAGGAGCAAGGAGCTTAGGGCTCACATCTTCAAACACAAGCACAAATCAGAGATCGTGAACTGGATATAACAGGGAACAATAAACTCACAAAGCCTGCCTCCACAGACAAACTTCCTCTAGCAAAACCACACCCCTTAAACCTCTCCCAGCACTAGCTGGGTGTGAGAGATTCCTGCAGTTATTGCCACTGGTGGGAAAGTGGACCACAGAGAGATAAGAGTGAAAACTCGGAACAGTGCCATTTTTGCAGGCACTGGGTCAAGACCTCCAGGGACTGACCCTGTGGTCTATTTTCCTTGCACATTGAAACATGGTAGAACTGGTGACCTGCAACCTTTAAAATAAGAATTAATTCCATTGGCTGATAAAGAGAGTTCAGGGCTAGAGCCTACAGAAGGATCTGTGATAGCATAAGGGTGGATTCTGTTGGTGGAGGATGCAAAGTACTGAGGCCCCTTTCATAGGGATGTGTTCTACTGATGTAAGAGTCAACGCTCAGGATCAGGGCCTAAATAATCCTCAGGGTATTGGGGGATTCTAGAAGCCTGGCTCATAGAATAGCAAAACATTACCAGGTTGATTCACCCCTTTTCACTCTGGCATTCCAGGTAGTTGAGTAGGTGTCATTCATTTCCTTCCATTGAAGAAAATAGGCCCATTGACAATCCTGCTTTCTCCAATTCTTATTCTAAGCTGTGCTTCCTATAGCTTCAGATGAAGTGGTCAAATTCCTGAGTCTGTGGGGGACATTTACATTTAAACCACCACAGCAGTTAAGTGCCACCATGCCTAGTTTATGCAATACCAAGGATGGAACCCAGGACTTTGAGCTTGCTGAGCAAGTACCAACTGAGCATTTCCTTTGGGGGCATTTCAAGACATTTCAACACCCCCTGAGATTCTAAGAGCCACACACTGTGAAAACAGGGAGCTGCTTTACTTTGGAAATCATTCCTGAAGTCCTGTGTTCATGGAATTTAGAAATGGAGTCTTTGGGGGAGGGGAGGGTTAGATGAGGTCATAATGGTCCCTCATGATGATATCAATAGCTCCATTAGAAGGAGAGAGACTGAAGTCAGCTCATGTCTCCATTCACAATGCCCTGGGCCATGTTCGGATGCACCAAACATGGCTATTGTTGGTTGCTGAGCCATGCCCCTGAACTTCCCCGAATTCAGAATCATGAGCTAAATACATTTTATTAATTGCCTGTTCTTAAGCACTTAGAAACACAAAACACAGTAACATAACTTGAATCCTCTAGATTCATTATGTAAGAGAAGAGTGACCCCCATAAATTGGTAGTAACTCTTTGTGTATCTCCCCACTGGCACTTCCCATCCAGCTCACCTCATCAGTGCCTTTAACTCTATCAGGAAATGGTTGGCAGCTTGTGGGTTGAGCCGGTAAACTACCACAACTGAGCATCTTCAACAGCAGGCGAAAAACAGTTCTCTTACAGTTCAAGAGGCCAGAGGTCTGAAATCAGGTGTCAGCAGGGCTACCGTGTCCCTCTCTCAAGGTTCCTTTCCCTGCCTGAGCTTATAGTGGGGCTATGTTCCTTTTGCTCATGGCTGCATTGCTCCATGCCCAACTGCTGTGTGCATATGGCCTCCACCACATGTGAGTTCCATCTTTTGTACTATTGAGAAGGCACTTAAATGTTGTATTTAGGACCTACCTGGCTGATCTTAGATGACCTTATCTCATGATCTTTAAGTCGGTTGTTGTTCTAGTTTCATTCTGTTGCCATGATAAACATTCTGACCTAAGGCAACTGGGGGGAGGAATAGATTCATTTCAGCTTACAGCTTACAGTCCACCATTGAGGGAAGTCAAGGCAGGAACTTGAAGCTGAAACCATAGAGGAATGCTACTTGCTGACTTATTCACAGGTTCATTTTATCTAGATTCCCTATACAGACCACCTATTTGGGGAATAGTGATATCCACATTAGACTGGCCTCTTCTTCATCAATTAACTATCAAGACAACCCCTTCACACACACACACACACACACACACACACACACACACACACATTAAAGGCTATTCTGATGTGGACAATCCCTCAACCAAGACTCCCTTCTCAGATGACTCAGTATCAAGTTGACAGAGTTAAGTAGGACAATTACATCTGCCAAGATTCTTTGTCCAAACCACGCCACATCCACAGGTTTTGAATATTCATACTTCTGGGAAGTCACTGTTCAACTACTCCAAGTATGCATAAGAGATGCAACCCCTTTTATCCTGGGATATTTGGTAACTAGGACTGTAAGACCTCTGGAGACTCAGGCCCCCAGGATCTCAGCCCAGGACAGCAGCCACCCCAATCACCAAGCAGAGGCGAAAGCTTGATGCAAACAGCACAAGGCTTTATTGAAGTTGTTTAACAAGCTAACTCCATGTTAGCTCAGGTCTTTCATCCATCCACCATGGCGGATGGCTAGGACAGATGCTGTGAAGCGTCTGCATATAGATCTTATAAGACAGCATAAGGGGAGTGTCTAGGGGTTCACACTGGCTCAGGATTGGTGTGCCTCCAGGCTTGGAGGGTTTGCCCTGTGTTGATTGGTCAACTGGTTGTTATGGCCCATAGGCCCTCCCAGGGCGGTTGCTATTCTCTGCACCTCATTGCTGTGCACTTGTCTGTAAAGCACACCCAGAGCCGTAAAGCATAGCACCACCAGCTAACTTCTGATTGGTTCCTTGCCACGAGGCAGGCATCTGACCTCCTAGTGACCAAGACAAGGTCAGGCAAGTACGTGTTCTGCTGTTATGGCTGCCAAAATGGGGAGCTGGCCCCTTCAGGATTAGAAGGAGTGTGAAAAGAATTGAGGAAAAGTTAGAAGACCCTGAAAAGAGTACAGAGCCTCCAAAGATAGGTACCAAGTTAAAAAAAAATGACACATGATAAGACCAAGGCAGGCTAAACTAGACTACTGTGGGCCCCCAGGCTCTGGGAAGGTGTTTGAACTTGGGAACAGTGGAAAACTACCAGAGTGCATTGAACTGAAGGAGGTCATAACTGATGTTCATGGGGGAAATAAGTGCTTTTTGTACAACAGAGGTGAGAGAGGAAAAGTGGGATGAGACAGGCCAGTTGAGGTGTTCTTTGAAAATCTCGAGAAAACATGGTGTTGGTCTAGACAGGATGAGTAGCAGAGTTATTCTAGGTAGAATGGGTGGGTCAGAACCACAAAGCTTTATTGGACCTTGTCTCTTCCAGTCAAGTATTTGATTAGTCATATTGAAGAAAGCAATATGGAAAGTCCATGCTTTATTGTGGCCTGAAAAAACATTTTTAAAAGAAGACAACCTTTATAAATTATTCCAAAGGGCTCCAAGAAGGTTTTGTTGAGAAGGATAGAGGAAACTTATACTGATTGGAGCTAAGCTCATTCTGCAAATATCCCTTCCTTTTCCATTCAGCTGTGTGCTCTTGTGGCCTTGAAGAGCAGCCCTGGCGTAATTTGGAAGTTTTACTAGCCTCTGCATGGAATATGTGGCTATGTGGTTATTTCAAGTATTTTCATTCTGTTATTTTTATGGCCTGAACTATTTTAGCCAGCAGCCCAGCACTAGCAGGACACAGGCAGACCCCAGAAACCCAATTAGGGTCTTTAGGAATCTGAATGCCCAGCCACTTGGAAGCATGTAGCTCTCCTCTCAGGGTTGAGGGCAGAACATCTGTGTTCCACAAAGAACTGTGGGATGGGCTCTCAATCCACTGGTAGAAAGAGCATCCATTATCTTGGTGATGCCATTTGCATTCGATGTAAAACCTGAAATGGATGGAAAATTTGCCTGGTTGGGAAAAAAAATGCAACCCAAGTATTTGGTATTTTCACCCAATTCCTTCCACTATGACGTATAACTTCTGAATTTCCACCTCCCCTCTAAGAGCCAGCCTGCTCTGTGGCCAGATGGCCTTTGGGGTTAGACCTGGGTTGGCACTGACCTTGTCATATCGTGGGTTAATCTAGTCTGCCCTCACAATTTTCTCGGAGGACAAAGCCCAGGTCTTTGGATGTGTGTGCCTCCTGCAGAGTGTCAGCAGTGCTGGACATGCTGGTGTGTTCTATAAACTCTCCTGTACAGGAGATCTGTGCTCAAAGGCACTGGAAAAGGAAAAAAAAAAAAAAAAAAAAAAACAGGTCAGACCCTTTCTACCTCACTGAAACACTGCAGGCCCATTCTGATGGAAGCGGTGTTGATAATGAAGGAACCAGCTCCCCGTTTTGGCAGCCATTACAACCTAACACATGCTTGCCTGACCTTGCCTCGGTCACTAGGAGGTCAGATGCCTGCCTCGTGGCAAGGAACCAATCAGAAGTTAGCTGGTGGTGCTATGCTTTACGGCTCTGGGTGTGTTTACAGACAAGTGCACAGCAATGACGAGCAGAGCATAGCATCTGTCCTGGGAGGGCCTATGGGCCATAACAACCAGTTGACCAATCAACATAGGGCAAGTCCTCCAAACCTGGTGGCACACCAATCCTGAGCCAGTGCGTACCCCTAGACACTCCCCTTACACTGCCCTATAAGATCTCTGTCCCGTGGCTTCTCGGGTCTTTCTCCAGCCATCTGTCATGGTTGGTGGATGAAGGCCTGAACTAATGGGGTTGGCTCGTTAAACAACTGCAGTAAAGCCTCTTGCTGTTTGCATCAAGCTTTCGCCTCCGCCTAGTGATTGGGGTGGCCGCTGTCCTGGGCTGAGATCCTGGGGGCCTGAGCCTCTGGGGGTCTTTCAAGGCTGCTGTCCTGGGCTGAGATCCTGGGGGCCTGAGCCTCTGGGGGTCTTTCAATCTACCCACTGTGAGCTTTGTATGAGGAACTGGGAGCCATGAGCAAATCTCACCTCCTGACCTTCAGCAGTCCCCAGCTCTGCATCTGGGCCTCAGCTCTGTTGAAGTGAGGAATTGGGTTAGGAGACTCCATGGTAATCAGGGCACCCGCCCCCACCCAGCTACGTGCAGACAAAGCTCCCTTCTGCTCATGGGGAAATAACCACAGACAGATTTTGGATGATGTAACCAAGAGAGAAAGAGCAGATGATTCTAACGACGGAAGTGAAAGTTGATCCCAGCCCTGTGGCTGAGCTTTCGGAAACTCCCTGTGAAGCACCCTGGAGCACTAAGGACCCAAAGGCACGATCCTGGTCACCTCCCTGCTCCCTATCACAAGAAGAGCTTCACACTGAGAACACTAAGGGATAAGTCCTCCCAGAACACATTCATAAGTCCAAGCAAGGTCACAGCACTGGGGCTTGGTGGACTCTTTGTTGTCCTCAGTGCTGTTGTCACTGTTGTTAGATGTGACAGCGCTGAACCTCATGTCACTTGCAGCCCTGTGCTTTCCCTGCCATGGCCTCCTGTTTGGTCTTTTATACAGTAGCTATTTATTAACTCCCATGGTGGAGAAAAATCAGCTTTGGCGGGGATTAGTGCCTGGAGGAGTATCTCCATGGGGGTGGGACAGAAAGGCCAAAGAGATGACATACTAAGGAGCCACAGGCCTCTGCATAGAGGAAGAATGCACCCCTGCTTCTGTTTACGAGTCTATTGTTCAGAGTAGGCTCCGAAAGAGCTCAGAAACAGCTGGAGGGTGGACCTCCCTGCCTCCATCTCTTCAGGCCTCTCCACCCCCAAACCCCATCTTGAAAGATATAGAAGGCACTGATTGCCTTCCTGGTCCCAAGAAGGACTCTGGGAATTTTCAGAAATGAAAATAATGGTGTTAGATAAAGTAGGTTTAGAAGAAAAATAAATAAAGGAAAATAAGGATGGAAATTCAAGTTGGCATCAGAGGAGAGAATTCTGGATTCTTTGTTATGGCAGTAGAAGGAGATGACCCTGTTCAGGCAGTCCTAGATATGGCATTAGGAAGCAAGACATGCTAGACATCAATCTATCACTATGATAAAATGCTGAGATAAGCAGGGTCAGTGGAGGGAAGGCTTGCTGTCTCTTGGTATCAGAGGAATTACTCCATGTTCACTCCATCCTGTTGTGTTTGAGTGTATGGCAGCAGTGAGTCATGCTAAATGTATGTGACCAAGGAAACTGGTCACCTTACTGCAGCCAGGAAGTAATATGCCCTTCTGGGGCATGCCTCTAATGGCCTAGCTTTCTACCAGTTGGCTCTACCTCCCAAGGTTCCATCTCATCGCATAGCACCCTAGACAATTAAGTCTTTATTTGACGCATAGGTCTACCAAGTGTAGCTAGTCTTTCTCTGTCCCACCTGCCAGCTCCCAAGTAACCCCATGGAAACTTTTTATTAATTATGGAAGTTCGGCTGATAGCTTAGGCTTGCTCCTAACTAGTTCTTATAACTTAAATTTACCCAAATCTTTTAATCAATCTGTGGTCTATCTACCAAGTAGATTTTACTTCTATCCCATTTTGTGTAACTGACTCATTCCCCGTCTGTCTGGTTTCTCCTCATCTCTGCCCTTCTTCTTCCCAGTATCTTCTCCGTCCCAAAAAATCCTATCTATCTATTGGCAATTTTCCTTTTATTAAACTAATCAGTGACATATATTCACACAGTGTAAAGGAATATTCAACAACAGCCAAGGGCATTCCATATGCAACCTAAAGTACAAGATTATTGAAGAATGATGACACTTGTGTTTCCTCAGCCCCAGAGTACTTGAGAAAAAATAGGTAAGGCCAAAAATACTGTGCAGGAAGAGACAGACTATCTTGGTATCCATGATGCCTGGAGGTTTGAAATGTTTCTGCCTCTGAGCAATGGGTTACCAGACAAGCATCTATATCCCAGTTTGTCATCTGACTCTAGATCTTCATTACTTAACATTTTTGAGCTTCAGGTATAAAATAAAGGCAGTTGGGAGCATCTAAACTCTCCAAGAATAAAAAAATGAACACAACAGTAAATGACTCTCTGACTGTGTGTCTTTAAAATTCTCAACCACTCCTGAAACAGGTACGTGTGTCTATGATACATGGTCTGCACATAAAGAAAAGAAAATACTGGAATGTACCTTTTACTGCAATTTTATTTTTTTTTATTGACCAAATATTGACTGAGCTCTTCCATTGGGCATTATTGAAGGCATTGAGATGCATTAGTGAAAAAGAGATAAAAGCAATAGCCTTATTGGACCTTACCTACAGCTGGTTTAGGGGTCTTAGTGACAATATGAGTGATAGACTGTGGTGACAATGCCTCCTGCCTGGGTCCCTACACACACAGAACTGAGAACACAATGATTCTGGTTGAACTGCCCTCCCCTGAGCCACAGTTCCAGCCCATCATTATTCTATAAGAGCCTTCACACACTCAGAGAGGAACACAGTTAGGATGCCCATCTCCAACCTTAGAGAAGAGGAACCCAGGATTAAGGGGTTAAGGTGTTTGTTCCAGATGGTCCACCCAGTACTAAGGGACAGAGCCAGGAGCTGAGCATTGCTGGCCAGTGGTTAGGTCACTATGAAGAAATTCTTCAGAGGCCCAACGCATATTTTGGCCCTTATTCCTATACTATCTAGCAATTGCATCATCCGCTGGGAATAAAGCATGTTTGCTTGATATTCTCTATTCTCTCTCTCTCTCTCTCTCTCTCTCTCTCTCTCTCTCTCTCTCTGTCTGTCTCTCTCTCTCTCTCTCTCTCTCTCTCTCT